TTCCATATGCCGTCTCTCCCGCACGCACGGCGGACCCTTATGAGACGTGGGGGAGGTAATTTTCCAAGCCACCTCAGGAATTGCTCTCTGCACCTTTGCATGACTGCTCTTGTTTTGACTTGGTTTCCGGCACATCCTCCCCGCCCTGCTTTTGTGAATAGTTTCATTTCCTTTGTTGGAGGCTAAACAGTCTGTCCTCCAAAGGATGCCTCCACTCCAACCCCAGGGACAGAAATGCAAACGCCAGCGCAGTTTATCGTCCCGTCAGCGATCCTCGCGGTCACGCCCCTGCCTAGGAGGGCGGCGGGCCACCGGCCCAGCATCCCACGCGCAACCTGACCAGCCGTGGACGGTGTGGGTTTGCGGGGAGGGGAAAGGAGGTTTCAACGGGCTTGCCCTAGGACAGTGATGGCGAACCTTTTGAGCGCGGCGTGTCAGCATTTTGAAAAACCCTCACTTAACTCTGGTGCCGTGTCACCTATAGAAATTTTTTGATCTTTGCAACCATAGTAAAACAAAGACTTTTATTAACAAAGAAAAATCAACCAAAAGAATGAGTTCGCGTGTCACCTCTGACACGCGTGTCATAGGTTCACCATCACTGCTCTAGGACTTCATGGTACCTGGTAGTTCCCAGTGACTTTACCCTGAGGTCCAGCCTCCCTGCTTTTGTGAGCGTGTGGGAAGGAACCGAGCAAAGCCCTAATGCTTGGTGGCATTCTCTCTTCGTCCACCACTCGGAGCTCCCCGGGGTGGCAGGGATGACCTTGACCCCGCGCGGTCAGCTCCCGTGCCTCCTAGGCTAAGGGGTGGGGCCACCACCTGGGCAGGGTCAGGACGGCTCGAAACAGCTGAGCGGAGCTGCAGGGCTCATTTCTAAATAACCAAGTCGCCCTCAAAGAGAGGCCCAGCTCACGGGACTCCGCTGCAGGTGGGGACACACCCTGGGGGTGGGTCAGGGGACGTGTGACGGTGCCAAATGGGAGTTAGTCGTCCCGTCTTCCAGACTCACCTGTTAGCACCTGGCAGAGCGGGCCCGGGGCCTGGGCCTCGGCGGAGGGGCTGGGTGCCCGGGACCATTTGCGCCTGAGCAGGTGTTCTCGGCCGCCGAGCGGGCCCCGGGAGCTGTTGAGGGGCTGGAGGAGCACCTGTTCCTGCCCCAGCTGGATGAGGCCGACCTGCCCGGAAAAAAACACACAAAACACGGGATGTCGGTCACGTTTGTTCACACTCGCCCGGGACCCGGCACCCCAGGGGCAGCAAGGCCACCTGACTGTGGCCTGGTTCCCACACCTGGGCTTTCTCTTAGCAGGTGGCCCAGCGTCCGGAGCCCACGGAGGAGCCTGTGTGAGCCTTGAGGCATCCCACCCGCCGCTGTGGTGGGGAGGGGGTCACAAGGTGTGGGGGGTCCAGCGATATATGCAGCAGTACCCATTTTCCAGGCTTGCTTTGAAAGATGTATTTATTAATAAAAGCAAATTTGAAAAAAACAAATATGATTTTTTAAAAGATTTTTAGAGAGAAAGGAAGGGGAAGGGGGAGAGAGAGAGAGAGAGAGAGAGAGAGAGAGAGAGAGAGAGAGAAACATCTATGTGAGAGCAAACATTGATCGGCTGCCTCCTAGACGTCCCCTACTGGGGATCAAGCCCACATGTGCCCTGACCGGGAATCGAACCGGCAACCTTCCGGTGCACAGGATGACGATCAACCAACTGAGCCACACCGGCCAGGCCAAACTTGATTTTTAAAATAATTTTAAAACCATCCCCAAAAGTTTACCTGAGGAGGAGACCCCAAACGTGTTGGGAATGAATGACAATTCTGTCCTTAATGAGAAAATGGATCTCCCCCGGGGGGATATTTAGAATTAAATAGAGGATGGAATCGGTCAGACATGTACCCGTCACCAGAATTGAACCTGCGACCCTTCCGTCTACAGGCCGATGCCCTGGCCACTGAGCCATGCCAGCCAGGGCCGAGGGTTTGTTTTTTAACCAAAGGACCTAAAAATGAAACTGAATATGTTAGATTTCTAAACACAGTGTGAAGGGTGGAAAAGTTGTTAATCACCAAATTTGTAAGTGGGGCCTAAAATTATTCAAAGCCCCCTAAAAAGGGGATTGCCAAGAGTTGCTGGATGATCAATGAAACAGGCTTTGTAAATTGAACAAAAAATGTAAGAACTAGGATTTTTTCATCAGTCGCTTTAATACAGCGGTTCTCAACCTTCTGGCCCTTTAAATACAGTTCCTCATGCTGTGACCCAACCATAAAATTATTTTCATTGCTACTTCCTAACTGTAATGTTGCTACTGTGATGAATCGTCATGTAAGTATCTGATACGCAGGATGGTCTTAGGCGACCCCTGTGAAAGGGTCGTTCGACCCCCAAAGGGGTCGAGACCCAGAGGTTGAGAACCGCTGCTTTAATAGCATGAATATTAATTCACGCAGACACACACACACACACACACACACACACACACACACACACGATGTGTAGAACTGTTCCCCGAATTGGGACATACTCCTTCTCCAGGATCCTTCCTTCTCTCTGCCCCACCCCTTTGTCTAAAAGCGATGACACACTAAACTAGCGCGTCTCAAACTCCAAAGTCCCCTGGACGTCTGGGTGGAACCCAGAACGTGCCCTCCTGACAGGTCCCCACGCGATACCGCCACTGCCATCCGGGGACTACCCTCTGAGACGCTCTGCCGCCCGCCACCACACAGCGATCCCTCCACGTCTCGAGCTGGGAGCTCACTCAGGCCTCGCGAAGCAGACCCCTCCACCTTCCGCAAGGCCATCGGATCGCCCCACCCGATCGCCGACAACCTTCCGTCCTCAACACACAGGGTGAGACCATATGGACGGCTCTGCGCAGATGTCAAGGTCTCTAATTCATTAGAACGTCTGCCAAGAACAACTCAGAGATTTTATGGCCCAAATAAAACTCTTATAGTTGGCGGTGCGTGACCCGCAGGGAAGCACGGCCTGCGTGCCTCTCCCCTGAAGTTGCAACTCGAGCGTGAGGTACTTCGGGGAGACCAGAGCAGCAGGCGGAGGGAGGCAGCGGTGGGCTGCGGGGGACCCACAGGTACAGAGAGTGGGTACGGCCCGGGCCATGGGATGGGTTCCGCCCGCACAAGCCCTGCACTCCCTGGAGGAGACACTCAACTCCAACAAGGGGCTGGATGGACCCTTCCCGAAATGCTCAGGCGGCTGGAGTTCAAAGGTCGCCTGGGGTCTAGCCCTTTCCGAGCCAGGTGGGATCTGTTCATCCCAGGGTTCTGCATTCAGAAGGCTCGTGAGCAGGTAGTTTCAATGGAACTCGATACAGAGAATCTGTCCTCGGTGAGAAATCCTACGGGTGCCAACACGCGGTCTAGCCCCGAGGGGAGGTTCTGCTTTAGAAGGTCTTTCTTTTTAAAAAATATATATTTTTATTGATTTCAGAGACGATAGGACAGGGAGAGAGAGAGATCCACAGACCGGCTGCCTTCTGCAAGTCCCCTACTAGGGATGGAGCCCGCAAACCGGGCATGTGCCCTGACCATGAATCGAACCGTGACCTCCTGGTTCATAGGTCGACACTCAGCCACTGACCACACCTGCCGCACTGCTTTAGAAGGTCTTGTTAGGAGGGTCCCACATCCTGGCTTGTCACCTCCTCTGCACCCCCTCACACCACTGCTATCACCAGAGACTCCCAATAGCCAGAAAGGCTCCTCCTTGCCCCGGGTAAGCGATCCCCCAAACGAGGTCCCAGACCAACAGCAGCACCTGGGGCCCTGCCAGGAATTCCAGCTCTCGGGCGGGGTGGGGCCTCGCCACCAGGGAACAAGTCTTCTGGGGAAGTCGGATGCCAGCGCAGGATGAGAACCACGGCTCCTGGGTGAATTCCAAGTGCCTCAGGTGGGCATCCAGGGCCCGGCCTCACCTACTCCACACACCTGTCCATTCCGCTCAGCTCCCACCATCTCCTAGAATAACCACCTCCCATCCCGATCCCACAGCCGACTCACGGGCGCTCATCTCGGGATGGGCCTGGCCTTCACCCGGTCTTAGAACCCGAGACCCACCCCCTTCAGCCCCAATCCTTGCCTGCAGGCTCCACCACACCTTTGTCCTGGGCGAACCTGGCCCACCCTCCGAGGAACGGCCGGCATCTCTCCCTCCCTCTCTCGGAGGCTGGATGGGAGCCGACCAGAGCCGCCTGCCCTTGGCAGGTGTGTGACAGTGAGCCGGCTGCTGTCAACAATGCTGGCTGCCTGGCTGATTTATAACTGGGAAGGCCTGGGAACGGCCTGTGGGGCAGGAGCAGAGACGTGTCTCCCAGGCCTGGTGGCCAGCTCTCACTCAAGGATGGCACAGGCTTCGCCCATGGCCTCTCTCCACGAGCAGCTAAGGGACCCGCTCTAAGATCACAGCCCCTGACGGCCGGCCGTGCAGTCTCATTTCCTGAAGAACAAGAACGTGCCTTGGCCGGCGTGGCTTCGTGGATGAGCGTTGACCCATGAACCGGGAGGTCACGGTTCAATTCCCGGTCAGGGCACATGCCCAGGTTGCGGGCTCCATCCCCAGTAGGGGGCGTGCAGGAGGCAGCCGATCCATGATTCTCTCTCATCACTGATGTTTCTCTCCCTCTCCCTTCCTCTCTGAAGTCAATAAAAATATTTTTTTTTAAAAAGAACAAGAACATGACTGCGCATCAGTGCGCAGGGAGAGGTTAACCGGTGGCTCTGCGAGGCCCTCTGAGGTTCTGGCTGCAAAAACCTCTCCCGCTGGACACATCCGAGGTCGGCCAGCTGCAGCGGCTCAGAGTTCAGGAAATGAACTCCAAGAATGCGATCCGTCTGAGATGCCTTCAGTTCATCATCCCGTCTCCAGCTCCGTTTTCTTTTCCAAGACGTTGCCAACAAAGCGAAAGTTCAAACGAGGGAATCTCATTACGTGCCCTGGGTGACGGTCACGGGCAGCCCGACGCCCCGGAGCGGTGGCGGGTGGACAAGGACACTTCAAGGCCACGGGGGTGTCTTTGCAGAGAAAGCTTCACATTCTCTGGTCCAAGTTCTTCCCTTTCTGTCCCTCCGTCCTTCCAAATTCCACAAACTGTCCTCTGCCTCCTTCTTCCGTTCCTTCACCGCCACTCAACTATTTCTTTTCACGGAGCTTCCAACAATGGGCTTTGCATTTTGCAGGTATGTTTGCGCTGCCCCCGGATAAGTAATATTCATCAATGAGTCACCCGGGACGAGGCCCCTTCCCGACACCTGTACCAATATCACGGCGTGTGATCGCGCAGTTTGGTCTACTTGCTCCCTTCCAAATGGTCCCCGTACCATAGAGTTTTTGCCAAGACGAATTCCTGCTGCTGCTCTATGTGGCCATGTGGTGTTGCATGAAAAAGCAGGCAGTTTTCTAAGCAATCCGGAGTCTGGTAACTCTTTGTTTGTTGTTATTAATCCTCACCCGAGGATATTTTCCCACTGATTTTTTTTAGAGAGAGAATGGAAGGGAGGGGGAAAGATAGGGAGAAAGAGACATATCGACGTGAGGGACACACATCGATCGGTTGCTTCCCGCTCGTGCCCTGACCAGAGCTGGGGATCGAGCCTGCAACCAAGGTACGTGCCCTTGACCGGAATCGAACCCGGGACCCTTCAGTCTGCAGGCCGACGCTCTATCCACTGAGCCACACCCGCTAGGGCATGGGCCCAGCTTCTTAACCTCCCACAGCCCAGAGCTCCCGGGTGTCCGGGCTGGTCCCAGCATCTCAAGCACAGCACGGCCCTGGCAGCCCAGCCTCGGCCATGAAGGGGCGGACAGAGCCTGACGCGTGGACTACCCATTTGTCAGCGTTCATCGGCAGCAGCAGGGTCACTGCTCGGCTGCCTGACCCCGCAGGCAGGGCTCCCCCGCCCCCCACTGTGTGTCCTCACGGGCAGGGGTGGCAGTCCCCCCCTCTCTTCCCACAAGCGGCACAGACACTCATTCCAACCTTGGAGTTCCGTCTCCGCTGCCCGTCCCGGGAAGCTGAACCGGGTTCCGGCCCCGTTGGCATCCCGCGATCTGGTCCTCCACGGGCGGCGGCGGGTCCAAACTGACGTCAACTATTTGGGGCAGGAAATACCTTCCTCCCAGGCGCGAACGTCATGGCTTTGAAATGACACAGCTACGGACACGCTTCCAAAACCTTACGCCACCTCCGAGGGCTCTGGGAAATGTAAATACAGCGGAGCCGCATAAACAGAAAACAGCGAAGGCTTGAGCCGGGGGTCTCTGCAGCTCCAAGCAGCGCACACGGCTTGCCCAGCCTTCCGAAACGAGACTCAGAGAGAGGAGACACCACGGGCCCACACCTGTGCCCACTGGCGAGCACAGAGGGTGGGGGGCAGGTTTACTCTTCACGCCCCTAAACAATGAAGGGAGGATCTAGTCTCATTGTACCCCTCCTTCAAATGTCTCCGGAGCCCTTGCCGGTTTAGCTCAATGGGTAGAGCGTCGGCCCACGGACTGAAGGGTCCCGGGCTCGATTCCGGTCAAGGGCAGGACAGGTACCTCGGTTGCAGGCTCGATCCCCAGTCCTGGTCGGGGCGCATGCAGGAGGCAACCAGTCAATGTGTCTCTCTCACAGCGATGTTTCCCTCTCTCTGTCTCTCCCCCTCCCTTCCACTCTCTCTAAGAATCAATGGAAAAATATCCTCTGGTGAGGATTAACAACAACAACAACAACAAAACGGCCCAGGAGAGAGACGGCACGGAGGAGTCCACACAGCAGAAGCAGGCCTGTGTCTCCCACCCCTGCTCCCTGAGCCATTGCGGGGACGTTAGAAGTGGCAGGATTTCCTTGATACTCAACATCGTTCCATAAAGTTTTATTGAATCTCCATTTGTTTATTTACCCTCTGTGGTTGCTTTCTCGCCGAGTAGGTGCAACAGAGACCATGGGGCCCCGCAATCCCTAAAATACAGCGGGGCCTTGACTTACGAGTGTCCCGACTAACGAGTTTTTCGAGATACGCGCCGTCTCTCGGCTGATTGTTTGCTTTGAGTTGCGAACTAAAATTCGGGTTACGAGCCAGCTTCAGATACCCCACCGCTAGTTGGCGCAGCGAACGTCACAGTGAACGCCACAACATCAGCCCAGCACCACGTGTCTCACTCATTCACTTTTTGACATACAAGTAATCTGAGTTACGAGCTCCATCACGGAACCAATTAAACTCGTAAGTCAAGGCCCCACTATAGTTACTATTCGGCCTTTTACAGGTGAAGTGGGCCACCCCCGCTCTACCTGGTTCTATGGCCCCAAGATTTATCTACACGGCATTGCCCGTCTCCCACGCCTTGTCCTGACACATGCCACGCACACGCACACACATACATGCACACGCCAGGTCTTCACCTCCCAGTGCTTCCACACGGTCAAGAAGGACTGTCAGGTGCCCACCCACCTGAACCGTCTCAAGCACGGAGCGCCATGCACCCTTGGTCAGCCTACTCCCCGCTTCTTTCCCTTCTCCATGCGTCCGGACCACCTTGCAAACCAAGTCCCCAGGCTGCCTGTCCCCTCCAAGTCCCCAGGCTGCCTGTCCCCTCCTTCCTCCGGCCAGAGTGCACTTAAGGAAGGAGGGCCCAGCATCCAGCTCACAGGGACGGGAGGAACAGGGCAGACTAAACAACAGAAGCGAGGGCTGGGGCAGGAATTTAGAATCTCTGGTCTAAGAGGTCCACCCGCCGCTGGCAGGGCCCAGCTCAGCCTGTTGGCCCTGTTCCTTTATCTAAAGCACAGCGCCCTCACATGGCGCCGGAGGGAAGGGCAGCCCCGAAAGCCTGGAGGACTGACATGAACTCTCATGGCTCAGATGCCATCTGTACAGGGCCCAGCGCTCGCTTGCTTACTCGCTCGCTCGCTCGCTCGGTGGGGATTTAAACCGATGCGATCCAGATTTCCACCCCCGGCTCCTCCGCAGATAGCTAGCTACTCGCTGGAAACTTTACACCGAGAAGTCTAAACTCTGACCTCTACAGAAACTCACTAAACCGCAGCAAATGGGATTCAGATGTTTCCATGTACAGTGCAGGGATGTGACCTAGACTTTAAACACTTTGGCAACAACAGCAAAAATGATGTGGGCCTTCCAGTCCCTCCCAGAACGTGATCCGGCCCTGACCCCAGGCCTACCGCGACCGGGGCCTTACTCGCTCCGACTTAACCCTCCTCGCCCACGGCCCGCGTTCTCTGCCCCCTCCGCCTACGGTCCATTTTCCTGGTTTAACCCCAGAAATCAATTTCTCCTGGCTGAGCAAAAGGAGATCACATTCAGAGCAGGACACAGAAACGTCCAGACTGGGGCACTGGCGAATGCCGGTCCTAGGACATTCCCTAGGACATTGCTCAGAAGAAAACAGAATTTTCATAGGAACCTGGACCCCAGGCTGTCCGGCTTTGTGGCAGCGTGAGGAAGGGCGAGGGAATTCTAGAAGCTGCAACCAGAGAAGCGCGAGGTGGGGGAAGCAGCTCCTTGTGCCTGGGAAGGGCAGACACACAACCATGTCAGAACCTGCTTCCCCGCCCAGCCCGTGTGGCGCAGTGGTTGAGCATCAACCTATGAACTGTTCAATTCCTGGTCAGGGCACATGCCCGGGTTGCGGGCTCCATCCCCAGTAGGGGGCGTGCAGGAGGCAGGCAATTGATGTTTCTATCTCTCTCCCCTTCTCCCTTCCTCTCTGAAGTCCATAAAAAATATATTAAAAAAATAAATAAAAACAAGAAACCGCTTCCCCGGCAGCCAGGCATGGCAATAGACAGAGAAGCAGCTGTGTGGTTCATGCCCTGAGCCTCTGCCAGGCTTGCTGGGGGCAGCCATGTGCCAGCCATGTGCACTCCTCGGGCACCGAGAGCTGAGAAGCACTTGCCTGGCCGCCTGAATGACCACTGGGTGTCCAGGCAGGTGCGCAAGAACCTCCCCTCCCCTTGGGATACTGGTGCCTCCTGTGCAGCGGGGTGGGGACTTGGGGACAGAGGAAGAGCTATGGCCACAGGAGACAGGGAGAATCTTATGTCCAAGGTCAGCACTCCTGGGGCCTGGCTCAGGGCGGATGCCCACAAACGCCCACTTGTCGTGAGCAAAGGTAGGAGCACCCTCTCCCTCCTGGTTCACAACTAATCAGAGTGGGTTAGTGGCCCGCCCGGGAGCCCCCCAGCTCCCCTTTCCGTGCACAGAGGTCTCAAAGGGACAGAGGGAGGGGAATGAGTGCCCACCACCCCATCCCCACAGCCAAGAGACGAGACGGACACCAGCAGGTGTGCCCCATGAAGTGCACACGTGCAGATAGCGCACTCGCTACACCTGGGCCTGGGCCAAGCGCGCCTCTCCGTCTGGGGGCCTGACAGGTACTGCCAGGCGGGCTGAGACGCATTCCCCTCCGTCTGCGGTAGAGCAGCCCCACCCCACCCGAACCCCAGCCCTCCTGGGGGGCCACCCCCTGCGCCGCGACAGACTGAGGGGCAGACGCGGAGGAGGGGGCAGTACCAGGCCGCCGGCGGCGCCGCAGGTGCTGATGGAGACCAGGGAGCCCGGGTGGCCCAGCACGCGGCCCGAGTAGAAGCACAGCTCGGCGGGGCGTCCCCGGCGCCAGGCCTCGCCGGCCTCCTCCACCTCGAAGCCGCGGGACAGGAAGCGCAGGTCGCGGCGCAGCTGCAGGTACAGGTCGCGCCCGAAGGCCGGCAGGTGCAGCAGCAGCGCGCGCTCGCCGGGCGGGGGGGCGCGGGACGGCTGGGGGCGCGCGGGGGCGCCGCCGCCCGTCTGGGGCCTGGGGACCCCGGGCAGCAGCGGCGGCAGGTGCACGTCGTCCGGGCGCACCCGCCGCGGGAGCACACTTCACGTCGCCGCCGCGTCGCCGACAGCTGAAGGGAGAGAGAGACGTGTCAGCCCGGCGGGCCCGGCCCGCCCG